TTTTAGTTGGTTGCACAACGAGAGGTAATTATCTCTTATCCCTTATCCCGTCTCACCTGTATGTCATGTGATTTGAATTAAAGACCTCTTACTTTCAACGAAAAGATATTATTACTGAACTATTTAGATCATTGATAGTATTACGAATTCTAAACAAATAAAAATAACTAATAATTTAAATTACACATAAAATTATACCAAAAATAATTTTAAAAATTATCCCAAAATTATTTTTCTAACAATTATTTAATGAACATGATTAACCGTGTGATTACACAATAATCGTACCATTGGGACATAAAAGCACATGTTAAATTAAAAAAACCAGTAAAATAGAATCAAATCTTTAGGCTCAATGGTTTGATCTCAAGCCTTAAGTGTTTGAGTGAAATGGTCGAAATTTCGAATTCTACCACCGTCGTGAACTCCACTAAAAACGGCTTGATAACTGCGCGTCTCATTTGAAAGGGTAAAATATTTATCCGGTCTGAGATCGAATTCCCAATTGCTAACAACTAATTCATACTAACTGACGCGCAATCATTAAAGCAAATTGTATAAGTTTGATGACCTCAAGAACAAAAACCAGCCGTCGGATCCTCCATTGACCCTGCAATTCAAATGATCCAAAGGTGGACAATTTTCAAGGAGCACATGCACTTTCTCAGAAGGTTAAATGCTAAATTTGGTCCCTCAACTTTAGTGAGTTGCATAATTTTGCTCCCTCAACAATTTTTTGCACTTTTTTGATCCCTCAACTATACGAAATACACTCCATTAGTTCTTCTGTTAGTTTGGGCCGTTAACCCTGCTTAGGTGACATTTTTTATTTTTTTTTTGATGATGTGGAGAGCAAAACTTAAAAAGGTGATGATTTGCATAAAACTTTTGTCATGTCACATGCTACTTGACGAAAACACACCAATTCCATCCAAATGGATCCCGCATCACCACTAAGAATTGCTTCTTTCCCCATCGATTACCGTTTCTATTCTTTTCATAAATGGTGTTCTTTCCATTTTCAAGATTAAAGTTCGACAGAACAAAATTTGGATAATCTCTTAGCAAACAATCATATAACCAAAAAAAAAATCAGTTGCCCAAAAATCCCTTACAACAACATGCAATTTAGATAATCTCTTGGCAAACAATCATATAAAAAAAAAATGGAGCTAGGTTCTGGGTTCAGTCGAACCCAACAGATCTGGGTTCGGTGGAACCCAAGCTAGGTTTCGTCAAACCCAGCAACTGGGTTCAATGACCCGAGGAAGAAGAGGAAGAAAGAAGAGGAAGGAAAAAAAAGAAAAAGAGAAAGGAAGAAGATGAACGTGAGTTTTTTTATTTTATTTTTTTAAAATATAAATAGTAATAATGTGAGTTGGCATGAAAAAAAAAATCCACATCAACACGTTTTTAATTTGTTTTTGTCACATCATCAAAAAAAATTATAAAAAATGCCACATAAGCGAGTTAACGATCGAAATTAACAGAATGACTAACGGAGTACATTTCGTATAGTTGAGGAATCAAAAAAGTGTAAAAAATTGTTGAGAAATCAAAAATATTCATTTCATAAAGTTAAGGGACCAAATTAAGCATTTAACCTTCTCAGAAAGGAAGAGCTGAATGCTTCTTTCCTCCATCCTACTTGGAAACTCCGTGGAAAAGGTCCAGTCTTGAGCTCCCTCTGTATATAAACACCTCCTCCACTCTTCCTTCCACTCTCAAGCAACATCTTTGCCTCTTCTTCCCTGAATTAAAAACCAAAACTTGCAGTTCTACACCTGTAACCCACCTTTTTTCTGGCTATGGCGATGCCGAATGAAGTATCCAGCGCACTTGAACTTATCGAGTTTCATTTGTTTGGGGAGTTGTCTCCTATTGCAGGCTTTTCTGAGTCGATTGTCAGT